GCTGGGAAAGGGCGGCGGATTGGAAGGTGGAAGCTCTTCGCCCACACTGTACCTATGCATTTTGCATACTGCACAAATATCCATTCAAATAAGCATAAGCACACTGTGAACCAATTCTGTGGACTGGTGCTCTCCCAGTCCCCTGTACAGGGAGGAGCGCGTCCCCGGTTGCCCAACTTTATCCGCTGCGCTAGTAGGGGTTGTTATCGCAGTTTGCAGGATGTCTCCGCCCAGCCTGGCCCGCTGCTGCTGAGGGGCCAAGCCCGCCGCGCCCACTCTCCAGTCCCGCCGCGGTTCTCGAGCGCCCCGCACAGGCAAGAGTGCTTGCGCGGAGAACCTGGTGCTCTGGGTCTGCAGAATAAAACCTTAGAAGCTGGGTGGGGGTGGAGAGTGGAGGTGGGGGGTGTACATGAGTGTGTGCATGTGTGTGTATGTGGTCCAGTCATGTGGAAAGCAGAGAGAGAGAGACAGAGAGACAGAGAGAGACAGTCAAACAAGGAGACAGAGACACAGAGAGACATAGAGACTAAGAGCACTAAGACTCTATGCATTTGTGGTTATCTGAGGCTGTGAGTTGCAGCCAGGGGGACTGGGGCCCAGCACCTGTGACTAGAGGTGCCCAGGACTGGCACACATGACACATGACAGGTCAGGGAGCACTAGGCTACATCCGGTTAAGAAGATTCCTGAAAGACAAGGCAGCATCAATTTCCTGCCTGACCAGAGGGGTGGGGACTCAAAATTGGAATTATGCCAATTAAAGAATATAAATGACAAAAAATGACAGGCCAACATTAAAGTCCCATATGTCTCCTTAACTCTGCAAAAGCATGAGGTTCAAGTCAGGATAATCTGCAGAGGTGTAGGCAGCAGGGTCTGTAAACTGTAGGGAACTCACTGTAGGGCAACCGTTGCCCTAGATCAATATCAATGAGCTCATCACCCCAAAAGGCTGGGACAGTTGAGGTGGGACAGTTCCTAGAATGGGACAGAAAGGGTCTCCTGACAGAAGCATGTGTTCAGCCTCCTCCTCACTTAGTCTCCCACGGGTCCTACCCTCCACTGGCCAAACCCCTCAGAAGCAACAGGACAAGGCCTTTGGCCTCTGGCCCCAGAACAGAGAGCAGGGACAGAGTCTGGAGTGGCCCCAGATTGCACCACACCCTGCCCACCCCCAGGGTCCTCCCTTCTCATCTGACACAACAGGAAACCAGGGCATATCCGGTACTGAGTGCTCACTGAGCATATTCAACTGTAAAGCCCTAGATTTTAATGATTAACTGGCACTTCAAACAGAAACCTTGGGTTCTGGGAACCCCACTTTGAACCTATTTCCTCACTACTCTCAATAGACACTACTTTACCCAACCTGTTCAAGTTGTATCAGGCCCCCCTGAAATTGTGCTTGGGTCTCTTTTCCCCTTCAGCCCCTCCCTAATCCTTGGGGTAGACTCAGTAGAAATCCCACCTAGAAGTTAATTGCTATCTTTAGATTCCCTTTGTAACACCCTTACTATGAATACTGCAGGTCAGAGTCCCAAAGATTTGCAAGAAACTTGCTGGGTGAGAATCCACCCAGCCCACAGCCTTGCTGCCTCCACACCTCCCCCATAAAATCCCTCTTCTCCCCAGTCCCAGGAAGATAGAGCTGGGGAACTAGACCTTGTGTCCTCAAGACCAGTCTGGATTAAACATGACTTCTTCCTAGTGACACTGTCTCTGGACCATTGGTTCTAGAAGGGCAGAGAGACATGATATCTGGCTCCGAAAGCAAAGCCAGAATCCTTGGAGTGTTCTAGGGAATGAAAGCATCCCTTTCTCCAGTTTCTTAACCAATCCACTTAGACTGCCCTTCTCCAAAATGCATCTCACAACTCTCCACAGTGCCAGCGGGCTAGCCCACCACCTCCCACCTGTGATTACTCCCTAGGCCCTCTACTGTCTTCTGCATCTGTTAGTGACTCCATCCACCACCCAGAGCTACCTAAAATCTCATTTTAACCATGTCCCTACCAATACAAGGCCCTCCTCAGGTCCCCATCTCACTATGGGCTGTGTCTACCTGCCTCATGGCAGTGCTCCCTCTCTTAGGCACCAGCTTTTTCTTCCTCAGAGCTGCATCATATATTTCACCTACAGAAAACTACATTCCCTCTGTCCCTGTTGATTCTTTCTCATCTTTAAAATCTCAGTTTAGGGGCTGGAGAGATGGTTCAGTGATTAAGAGCATTAACTGTTCTTGCAGAGGACCTGGGTTCAGTTCCCAGCACCTATACGGTGGCTAACAACCGTCCGTAACTCCAGTTCCAGGGGATTCAACTCTCTCTTCTTACTTCGGTGGGCACTGCACACATAGGTGCACTTACGTATATTCAGGCAAAACATTAATACACATAAAATAAAAATAATTTATCATTGTTAATTTTTTGGACTTTTTGAGACAGAATCTCCCTGTAGCCCCAACTGGCCTGGAACTTGCTATGTAGACCAGGCTGGTCTGAATCACACAAAGCTGTGTGTGCCTGCCTCTGCCTCTGCCTCCCAAGTGCTGTATGTGTATACCACCACACCCGGCTAGTTATTTTTTTTAATATTTTATTTATTATTTTTATTTTATGTGTATGCTTGTATTACCTGTGTGTAGGTAAATGCACCCGTGACATGCAATGCCTGCGGAGGACAGAAGAGGCTGTCAGATCCCCTGGAACTGGAGTTATGGACAGTTGTTAGCTGCCATGTAGGTGCTGGGATTTGAACCTAGGTCTTCTGTGAGAACAACCAGTGTTCTTAACTGCTGAGCCATCTCTCCAGCCCGCCTAGTTAAGTTTTTTTAAATCTCAGCTTAAATATGATCACATCAAAGAAACTCTATACCTCATTTAACTTGAATCCAGTATACATACCTCTCCTCACTGGCCACTCTGTCCCAGTACCATGATCCATTCCTAACAACACTAGCCCAGTTTATAGCAATACATTTCTTTCTTTCTTTTTTGGTCTTTTTTTTTTTGGGTCTCCCTGTAGCCCCAGCTGTCCTGGAACTCACTATGTAGACCAGGCTGACCTTAACTCACAGAGATCCACCTGCCTCTGCCTCCCAAGTGCTGGGATTAAAGGCATGTACCACCACGCCCAGCTTTCTTTTTAAAAATGTATTTATTTGTGTTGTATGTGTATGAGTGCTCTGTCTGTATTCTGAGTATACCATGTGTGTATAGTGCCCACAGAGACCAGAGAGGCTGTCTGATCCTCTGGAACTGGAGTTACTACCATGTGGATGCTGGGAACTGAACCTGGGTCCTCTGTAAGAGCAGCCAGTACTCTTAACTGCTGAGCATCTCTGCAGCCCCCTATACATTTATTTATTTGACCCTTGATTAGTCTGTCTTCCCACTATACTGTAAATTGCACTGATGGGAAAGGCTCCATCTACTTTATTCCCACTATGTCTTCAGGGCCTGGCACAGAGTAGATGCTCAGTAAATGCTAGATGGTGGTAAATGGGCAAATGGTGGCTTGTGTTATAGCAATGATGTGACCAAGGCCTTTCCAGAGAACCTTACTGTTTTATCTGAACCTGCAGAGTCACCCCAAAGTGGGGTCAGGAGAATTCCCAGAATAGGTCCAGTTGGGATTCCAAAGAAAGCACTACATGTCAAGTGGTCAGTGGTGGAGGGGGAGCAGTTATTAGGGAAATTTGCTGGCATTTGTTCATCCTCATGGTCATCAGCAAGGCAGTAATTCTCCTAGATGCTGCTACAAACAAGGAGTTGGGTGAGGAGTCCCTGTGATGGGTGAAGAAATTTAACTGTGCTCAGGACTTGCTTTTATGTGTTAGGCAACAACCTAAATAAGTTTATTTATACCTAGAAAAGTTCAGGTTTTGAGGGTTGGATTTAGCTCAGTGGTAGAGTGCTTACCTAGCAAGTGCAAGACCCTGAGTTCGATCTTCAGTTCTGGACATTAAAAAAAAAAAAGACAAAAAGACAAAAAGTTCAAGGTTCCATCTTTGAGTTTACTAGTAGTCTTGGTGTTTTGGTTTGGTTTGGTTTGGCTTGTTTGAAAGAGGGTCTCACAGGGCTAGAGAGATGGCTCAGCGGTTAAGAGCATTGACTGCTCTTGCAGAGGACCTGGGTTTGATTCCCAGCACTCACATGGCAACTAACAACCATCTGTAACTCCAGTTCCAGGGGTTCCAATGCCCTCTTCTGACCTCAGAGGGCATTGCATGACACAGGCACTCACATACATGCAGGCAATACACTTACATACATAAAATTAAAAATGATAAATAAAGGGCCGGGCGTGGTGGCGCACGCCTTTAATCCCAGCACTTGGGAGGCAGAGGCAGGCGGGTCTCTGTGAGTTCAAGGCCAGCCTGGTCTACATAGTGAGTTCCAGGACAGCTGGGGCTACGGGGAGATCCTGTCTCAAAAAGACCAAAAAAAAATTATAGAGGACATGAAATAGAGTCAACTGATGTAGAGAGATCAAAGAGGAAAAAAGTAAAGAAAATAAACTTAAAGGTTTTGCTGAAGAGGTAATTTGTGTTCTAAGTGCAGGAGAATGGAAGGAAACTAGATTCAGAGAGTTAAGGAGTGCTTTGTGAGTAAATGGGGTTTCTTGTATTGATTTTCTATGGCGGATGGGATTAAGAAATAAAGAGTAATAATAATAATAATAATAATAATAATAATCAAATAAATAATAAATAATGATAAAATAAAGACAAAGGAATAGTATCATTGGCAATAAATAAATAAATAAATAAACAAACAAACAAACAAACTTCTCTATTCAGGTTGGTGACCAGACAGTATGCATGGACTGAAAATTGATCAGGAAAAATGGATGACATAGGGTAAGGGAAGAGGCAGGAGCAGAGAGCTGCAGTCCTTAAGGAGGGACTCTGTGGGGATGGGGCTGCCTACTGGGTGTGCCCCTTTTCTATTCTCTGGCTCTTTCAGATAAGACCAGCAGTTTTGGCATTCTCTCCTCCCAGTTCATGGTTCTGGCAGCCCCAGTCCCACGCTTTGGAAGCATGTCAATCCAGGAGAGCAGTCTACCCCAGCAGCTCTGGTCATGGATCTCTCGGTCACAGAAAGACTTAGTAAAGTCTGTCCTAACTGGGGCTCCAGGAGGTAAGAGAGGGTCTGTGTTAGGGGCTGGGGTTGGAGGGATTTAGAGATGATGTCTATCAGATGTCACCTGTGGCAAATACAATCCTGCTTCTGAGCTTCTGATCTTCTAGGCCCTGTGGGCAGGCCAAAAGGGAGCCTGCAGCATGAGTGCCACGGGACACTCCCATGGTTCCTGGACTCTGGCCCCTGCTGTACAAGGCTTTTGTTGGCAGGAGAGATGCTAGCTGGTGACACTTTAACCAGTCTTCAGGCCTTGTGCTCTGATACCACCAGAGCATAAAGCAGACCCACAGAGACAACAGGCATTCAGTGACATGGAAGGTGCTTCCGGACAGGGTGCTCCTCTGAGCTGGGTTGGGTCAAGCTACGTGGGGCCTGGAGCCGCACTGAGTCGGCTGAGGAGACTGGTGGGGAAGTCAGCCTATTGCCTGGAGCTGGGAGTTAACCTTAGGAGAGGGTGATTTCTGGGTTAGACAATGAGGAACAGATGTAAACTAGATATCAAGGAGGGTTGAAGCTGAGAGAATGCTCTGAAGGGAGAGAGGTCTGGGGTTCTGAGGGGTCTGTATTGCTGGGCACTTAAGAACTGGCATTGAGAATTAGATCTGGTTCTGAATGCCATTTGTTACTTAGACGCTGCATTATCTTAGGCAAAGTATCTTATCTTTCTCGGCCCTTTCCCTTATCTGTAAAACTGGGATAGAGAGCACCTAACAATGCCTGCTTTATATGACCATTGACATATGCATGACACTCAACTCAGAGGAAGGCCTCCACACAAACTGGAGAGCTAGAGAAGGAACACAAAGGAGACAGGAAGCACAGAGAGGAGGGACAGGTACCCGTGCAGACCCCGAGTCTTCTTCTACTGCAGGGCCAGCAGGGTACCTGAGGCGTGCTAGTGTGGCTCAGCTGACCCAGGAGCTGGGCACCGCCTTCTTCCAGCAGCAGCAATTGCCGGCCGCTATGGCAGACACCTTCCTGGAACACCTCTGCCTGTTGGACATTGACTCAGAGCCTGTGGCTGCTCGTAGCACCAGCATCATTGCCACCATTGGTAAGACCACCTGACACTCAGCAGACTCTTGGGACCTCCTGGATGACTCAAGGTGCCCCTTAATTTTTGCCATCTTTGACTTGGTTGTTCATTCAATAAATATTTGGGTTTTTTGGTTTTTTTTTTTTTTGTAGGGAAGCCATTAGATTGTTGAGATAGGGTCTCAGGTAGCCTTGGATGACTTCAAACTTATATAACCAGACTGACCTTGAATTTTTAATCTTCCTGCCTCTACATCCCCACCAGAGGGATTATAGGTATATGATACTACATCCAGCTTAACAAATATTTGTTGTGCACTTAGAAGACAAGGTCTGTAGTTTCGGGGTAGATCAGGGAATAAGACAGGAAACCGCTCTCTTGAGATGGCAGTCTAGGGGTGGGATAACAAATAATATGCAATAAATTATTTAAATGTAATTAATTCAGCCAGGTATGGTGGTACATGCCTTTAATTCTAACACTTGGGTGGCAGAGGCAGGGTGATCTCTGTGAGATTGAGGCCAACCTGGTCTGTATAGCAAGTTCCAGGCCAGCTGGGGCTATAGGGAAACACTGTCTCAAAGAAACAACAAAAAAATGCACTTAACTCAGTGCTAGAAAGTGATACATGGAGCAAAGGGAGAGTGTGGTCAGGGACACTGAGTATCAGGGCAGAAGGAGGCTGCAGTCCTGAGCAGGAAGTCAGGGAAGCTGGGAAAAGATCTGAGCAAAGACTGGAAGGAGAGACAGGAGTGATGACTCATCAGCAACCTGGCACTCTGGAGGCTGGGCCAGGAAGATTGATCAGAGTTTGAGGCCAACTTGGGCTACATAGTAAATTCTAGGGCAGCCTGGACTACTGTTAAGACCCTGTCTCAAAAACAGGGAGCTGGGCTGGAGATATGGCTCAGCGGTTAAGAGCACTGACTGTTCTTGCAGAAGACCCGGGTTCGAATCCCAGCACCCACATGGCAGCTAGCAACTGTCCGTAACTCCAATTCCAGGGGATCCGACAGTCTCTTCTGTCTTCCACGGCATTGCACAACACGGGTACACTTACCTACATGCAGGCAATACATGCGTACGCATAAAATAAAAACAAATAAAATATTAAGGCCGGGTGTAGTAGCGCGCACCTTTAATCCCAGCACTTGGGAGGCAGAGGCAGGTGGCTCTCTATGAGTCAAGGCCAGTCTGGTCTACAAAGTGAGTTCCAGGCCAGCTAGGGCTACAGGGAGACCCTGTCTCAAAAAGACAAAACAAACAAACAAAAACAACAAAACCAGGGGACTGCTGGAGAGATGGCTCAGTGGTTAAGAGCATTGACTGCTCTTACAGAGGACCGGGTTTGATTCCCAACACCCACGTAGTAGCTAACAACAGCCCATAATTCCAGTTCCAGGGGATCATATGCCTTCTTCTGATTTCCTTGGACATTGCATGACACAGGTGCACTTACACACATGCAGGCAATACACTCATACACATAAAATAAAAATACTTTTTTTTTTAAAAGCAAAAACAAAAACAAAGCTGGGGGTGTAGTTAGGTAGTAGAGTGCTTGCCTAGCATGCATGAAACTTCAGGTTTGATTCCCAGTACCACATAAAACTAGGAGTGGTGTCACACACCTATAATCCTAACACTTGGGAGATGGAGGCAGGAGGATCAGAAGTTCAAGGTCATCCTCCATTATAAATCAAGTTTGAGGTTAGCCTGGGCTGTATAACTAAAAAAAAAAAAAAATGACTGCAAGGGAAGGGGAAAGGGAGAGCTAGCTCTCCAAATATCTGGAAGAAAGGTCTAGGTAAAGGTAAAAGACAGTGCCAAATCTGGGAGACTTAAGAGTAGCTAGAAAGCATTATGGGAAGAGAGGACCAGATGGGGTTTTTCAGGCCGTTTTCAGATTGGTGGGGTTGGGGGTACTGGACATTGGATGTGGGGCCTTAAGCATGCTTGGCAACGACTCCACAGATTCACATCTCTAGCCATCTTTCTAATTTTTATTTTGACACAGAATCTCACTAGATTTCCCTAGCTGGCCATGAACTCCTGTAGCTCAGGCTGGTTGTGAACTCATGATCATCCTGCCTTAGCCTCCCGAGTGCTGAGATGACAGGTGAGCACTGCACCTATTCATTTTTAGAATTTGGTTTGATTTTTGCTCTGGATGAAATGGGAACTACTGCAGAGTTATGAGCAGGTAAATAATAAGGTCTTACAGTGGGCCAGGCCTTGTGGTGCACCCCTTTAATCCCAGCACTCGGGAGGCAGAGGCAAGTAGCTCTCCATGAGCTCCAGACAGGCTGGGATTACAGGGAGACACTGTCCCAAAAAGGCAAAAAAAAAGTCTTCCATAGACTGGCAGGCTATTAGAAAATAGGCTGAGGGCAAGGCAAGGACAGGGCTGTTACTGTACAACTTCTGACTCAGGGCAAGTGATGGTGGGTGAAGTGGTGAGAAGTAGTTTCATTCTAAATGCATGGTTTTTTAAAAAGTTTTTGTTCAGCCAGGCGTGGTGGCGCATGCCTTCAATCCCAGAACTCAGGAGGCAGAGGCAGGTGGATCTCTGTGAGTTCAAGGCCAGCCTGGTCTACATAGTGAGTTCCAGGACAGCTGGGGCTACAGGGAGACCCTGTCTCAAAAAGACCAAAAAAAAAGTTTTTGTTTTTATTTTTATTTTTTGTAAGTTTTTATTTTTAGTCTATGAGTGTTTTTCCTGCATGCATGTAAGTGCACCGTGTGTATGCAGTGCCCATGGATGTCAGATCTCCTGGATATGGGCATGGTTGTGAGCCGCCCAGTGTAGGTGCTGGGGCCTGAACTCAGGTCCTCTGCAAGAGCAATAGGTGCTCTTAACCACTGGGCCATCTCTCCAACCCACTAAATGCATTTTTGAAGGTAAAGCCAAGGGAATTTCCTGATGGACTGAGTACACATTCAACATCCAAGGGCAATATAGGAGTCAGATTCACACCTCTGGGATGGGAAAGAGGTCTGAAATAGAGATGTAACATGGAAGTCATACCAGGTGTGATGGTGCACACCTTTAATCATGACACTTGGGAGGCAGAGGCAAGGGGATCTCTGAGTTTGAGGTCAGTCTGATCCTACAGTGAGTTCCAGGCCAGCATAATGAGACCCTGTCTCAAAGAGAGAAAGAGACAAACAGAAAGAAAGAAAGAAAGAAAGAAAGAAAGAAAGAAAGAAAGAAAGAAAGAAAGAAAGAAAGAAAGAAAGAGAAAGAGCTGTAACCCAGTGGTAGACAATATATTTAGCACATGCAAGTCCCTGGATTCAACCCCCGGGACCAAAAATAAAATGAGAGGGCTGGGAATATAGAAGAGTAATAGCAAATTTGCCCAGTGTGGGTTCAGTCCCACACTTTGTTCAGTCCCCAGTACTGCAAAATTAATAAATAATTTAATTTAATTCAACAAAACAAGATCAATGAGAACAGGGCTTCTGCTGATAAGGAAAGGGATGAAGAAAGGAGACAGAAGGAGCAGCTGGAGGGCGTGCCAGGAAACTAAGGTAAGGTCCCTGTGGCCAAGTAAAGAAATGTTTTCAGAAAGCATGTCAGCTGGGCGTGGCGGCACATGCCCTTAATCTCAGCAAGCATGCCGACCTGATGTTGGATTCCCAGAACCCAGGTAAAGCTGGAGGTGGCTGTGCACACCTGTGATTCCAGCCCTGGGGGACAGAAACAGGTGGATCCTGAGGGTGGTCTTGCCAGTGAGTATAGCCAAATTGTCAGACTCCAGGTTCAGTGAGAGACCCTGTCTCAAAAAATGAGGAGTGAGGTTGGAGAAATAGCTCAGTAGTTAAGAGCACTAGCTGTTCTAGCAAAGGACCAAGGTTCAGTTCCCAGCACCCACATGATGGTTAACAACCATCTGTAACTTCAGTTCTAGGAGATCTGACACCAACTTTTGGCCTCTTTGGGCATTGCATGACACAGGTACACTTACATGTAGTAAAACACTCATACATATAAAGCATAAGTAAACAGGGGCTGGAGAGATGGCTCAGTGGTTAAGAACATTCTTGCAGAAGACCTGGGTTCGAATCCCAGCACCCACATAGCAGCGAACAACTATCTGTAACTCTAGTTCCAGGGGATTCAATGGCCTCTTCTGTCCTCCATGGGCATTGCACGACACGGGTGCACTTACCTACACGCAGGCAATACACGCATACACATAAAATAAAAGTAATAAAATAAATAAAAAATAAACAAAACAAAATGGGACTAGGAACATAGCTCAGTTCGTAGAGTGCTTGCCTAGCATGCATGAAGCCCTGTATTCAGTTCCTAGCACTATAGGAACCAGGTGTGGTAGAGCACACCCATAATCCTAGCACTAGAGAGGTAATAACAGGAGGATCAGAAGTTCAAGGTTATCCTCAACTATATTGCAAGTTCAAGGGTAGCCTGGGTTACATGAGACCCTGTCTGAAGAAGAAGGAAGGAAGGAAGGAAGGAAGGAAGGAAGGAAGGAAGGAAGGAAGGGAGGAAGGAAGGAAGGGAGGGAGGAAGGTGAAGGACTGGGGGTACAGCTCAATGGTAAAGCACTTACCTAGCATGCAGGAGTTCCACATGAGTTCCACCTCTAACAGTAAAAGAAAAGGAGGAGGAGGAGGAATCAAATGCTGATGATGATTTAGGTTGATGAGAATGGAGAATGGGACAGAGCTCAGCTCTGTCAATGAGATCTCTTGGTTTATTTTTTTATTTTTAAGTTCATTTATATATTTGGAGACAGGCTCTCCCTGTAGTCCCAGCTAGCCTAAAACTCACTATATAGACCAGGCTGCAGGCTGGCCTCAATATCTCAGAGGCAGGTAGATCCACCTGCTTCTGCCTCTTGAGTGCTTGGACTATAAAGGTGTGCATCACCATACCTGGCTCTAATTTATTTATTTTCATTAGATTGTATGAGAAGTTTGCCTGCATGTAAGTGCACTGTGCATGCAGTGCCCACAGAGGCCAGAAGAGGGAGCTAGATACCCTGGAACTGGAGTTAAGGATGGTTGTTAGCCACTATGTGGGTGCTGGGAACTGAACCCAGGTC